TACGGATGGATGTTATTTGGGGGGAGCAGAAAGGTGAAAAGACATGAGGGTGTGGATTGTAGTGGGAGAGACAGGAAGATGCACAGACAGCGGAGTATCAGTGGCAAAAGGATGAAGGGAGGAAGTGGCAGCGCATGAGTGTCAGCAGTAAACACACAACTCACGTCGCATCCCATCCGGCTCCGCCCACACACACACACACACCGGCAAGGCTTTTTATTCTTTCGCCCCGTTGCAGTGGAGGCATACATTTACCGCAGCCTTACCCTCCTCTCATCCTCTGCGTGAGTGTGTTGCTAAACGCCCTCAATCTCACGAATGTTTTCTCTCCCCTCACTGCCTCACACACACACACACACACAGAGAGAGACATTTATGAGATAATTTGCAGAAAAACACAATGAAAATACCCCTTTAAACAGCAATATGCATGTCACGATCAATTCGGGCCCGCCGAAAGGCATTCACGCTCCTCACCGTGATGTGGTGCCCCCGCACCAGCAGCACAATATCCGACGGCTTCACGGCAATGCCCTCAGCCCTCTCCAATTTCTCGTACAGCGGCATACCCTCGTTGGCAGAAGCAAATATTTTTCTGGAGTGTTCACCTGTATAATGGACCAAACCGCTCCTTGGAGCCCGTAACATTAACAACTACCGGCCTGCCAGCGTTCTGCATGTGAACCATCTCTTGGCACTCTTCTTCCATGCGCAAACCCTGGGCAATCGTTATTCCAATCAAGGATGCCCATGAGGGCAATTTTATGTATGGTATTGATGCACCCCCTGCTTAAGATGCGTCTGAAAAAAATTATGTATTCATATATATGTCCTTAAATTCTCAAAGTGTGAAGCATTAATTTTTATTTTTTTCCTCTCGGTGTGGCAGACACAACTACACAAATGGCATAAACAAAAATGAAAAAGTTTTCAAATGAACGCAGTGCGGTGTAACAATAAAAATTACATGTAGAGAGCACCAAAACAGAGTACATCATCAATCACCTCTAATGAATCACTTTCAAGTTCATAATCATCACAATAAGCACTCTCATTTCACCATTATTTTTCGCAAAACCATCGCCTTGAACTCCTCCAACCGAGAAAGGGACTCGGTCATTACCTTCCTTTCCTCCACGAGGCGCAACAATTCAGCCTGCAATGAAGACATAGAGCAGCGCAAAAATTCAACACGTTCGGTAAACTCCAACTGCGCCCGATGCGCCCCTTCCTTCGAAGAAGCCAGTTCCAACGCTAACATTTTTTTTTCCTCGTCACTCCTTTCAATAATTAACTTAACACTTTTCTTCCACTCACCCATACGGGCATCTTTTGAAACACACGCAAGGCAATTCTTGTCACCAATCACAACCACCCTTTCACGCCGAGCTTCCCCCAGCTCCCGCTCCAGCCGCTGCACCTCCTGCGTCAGTGCAGCCACGGCCTCGTCTCTCTCCCGCGCGGCGTCGCGCTGCATGGCCTCCGTGGCACCAACGGCTCGCTCCTGCTCCTGCCGGGCCTCCTCCAGCTCCCGCTCCAGCCGCTGCACCTCCTGCGTCAGTGCAGCCACGGCCTCGTCTCTCTCCCGCGCGGCGTCGCGCTGCATGGCCTCCGTGGCACCAACGGCTCGCTCCTGCTCCTGCCGGGCCTCCTCCAGCTCCCGCTCCAGCCGCTGCACCTCCTGCGTCAGTGCAGCCACGGCCTCGTCTCTCTCCCGCGCGGCGTCGCGCTGCATGGCCTCCGTGGCACCAACGGCTCGCTCCTGCTCCTGCCGGGCCTCCTCCAGCTCCCGCTCCAGCCGCTGCACCTCCTGCGTCAGTGTGGCCACGGCCTCGTCTCTCTCCCGCGCGGCGTCGCGCTGCATGGCCTCCGTGGCACCAACGGCTCGCTCCTGCTCACGCCGAGCTTCCCCCAGCTCCCGCTCCAGCCGCTGCACCTCCTGCGTCAGTGCGGCCACGGCCTCGTCTCTCTCCCGCGCGGCGTCGCGCTGCATGGCCTCCGTGGCACCAACGGCTCGCTCCTGCTCACGCCGGGCCTCCTCCAGCTCCCGCTCCAGCCGCTGCACCTCCTGCGTCAGTGCGGCCACGGCCTCGTCTCTCTCCCGCGCGGCGTCGCGCTGCATGGCCTCCGTGGCACCAACGGCTCGCTCCTGCTCACGCCGGGCCTCCCCCAGCTCCCGCTCCAGCCGCTGCACCTCCTGCGTCAGTGCGGCCACGGCCTCGTCTCTCTCCCGCGCGGCGTCGCGCTGCATGGCCTCCGTGGCACCAACGGCTCGCTCCTGCTCACGCCGGGCCTCCCCCAGCTCCCGCTCCAGCCGCTGCACCTCCTGCGTCAGTGTGGCCATTTGTTTTTGGTACTTTGCTTCTTGAAAAGCCATGTTTTTTTGAAGCTGTTTCACTTCTGTTACAGCAGCTCGGCCAATGCTATTGACTACCTCTGTAGGTGCTTCAAAAGATATCTGACTCTCTGTCGAGGCGGAACGTAGTGCTTGAAGTTCCTCTTGCAGTTCTTGGATTAATTTCTTGTCTTTATGAATCGTTTCTTTCACACGTTCTTTCCATTGTTCAACTCTTTGCTGAACTGCTTGTTCTATCACGTCTTCAGTTAATTCTTCGGATCTGAGAACGCTATCTGGTTTTTGGGGACACTTTACGAGAGATGGTGGCATTTCTACATTTTGTCCTTTATCCGTTAATTCTTCATCCACTGACAATTTTTGTACTTTCTGAATTGATTCCAGTTTCTCTTCAAGCTGGCGGATGCGATCCATGTCTTCCCGCATTTTTGTTTTGACGCGTTCCTGCCATAAGGAGAGCTTCTCCCGCACAGCCCTCTCCAATACATCAGGTGGAATCGTTGCCGGCGTTGCCACGGAAAAAGAAGAGGTGGTGCCAGCATTGGCTTGCTGCTCTAATCGCGATTGCAGCTCAGCAATCATCTCCTGGTCGCGGCATGATGCAATTGTTACCTTCTCCTTCCAGGCATTCACTTTTTCTTGTAAGGCCGTAAGTTCTTCTGTCTTTCCATTCAACTCTGCTTGAAGGGCCCTGATGATTTCCTCGTTGCGGCTTATTTCCGTGGCGTATGCCATGCGCTCCTCCTCCATATTCTGTTGCGGCGCCAATTCACTACGATGCTCGGATGGCACTGGTGGCAGTGATCCTACTGAAGTCAAGCTTGAGTTTAAAACTGCTGCTCCAACTTCCGAAGCTGGTCGACCAGTGAGCTGCTCAACCAGTCCCTCGAGAGTGCTGATACGCGTGCTCTTCTCACGAATACTTCGTGCCTGTTTCTTTGCTATTTCAATAACTTCTTCGCGCGACATGCGCCCCAAGTCCACAATGCGGGTATTCCGTGACTGATGAGAAGATTCCATCGCGGAGCTAAAAACCCAATTAATCGCCGTACGTATGTATGTATGTGTCTTTTTGAACTTGTTTCCCTCCTTCCTTTGGGAAGTTTCTTTCCTCTTATTAAAGTTTCCCTTCAGTGATGGTCATCAAGAAAAAATAAAAAAGAAATTTCTACGCGACTCCTCGTTTATGGTCCAGTATGTATCTTTTTGTGTGTATTTGAAACGGACTGCGGCTATTAGTTTAATAGCCACAAGAGTAAACATTCAACCATTTAAAGAAATGCTTCTTGTTTTTGTTTTTGCTTTACTCTTGGAAGGGATAAGAAAAGTGAGGAGAGGGGGAAAAGAGTGACTTTGCAGCTCATCACCCCCCTTCACTTCCCCTTTTGTGTTCCTTTTCTCATTTTCTTCCCAATGTTATTCGATTGGCACCTCGCCACCACCCAGTCACCCTCCAATTGCCACTCCAACGGCTCATGACTGCAGCAGCGGTGACACCACACCCACGACCCTCACCCTCAAAGAGCCGCCACCTCCGCTGCTGCCGTTTCTGAATGACGACAACGAATTGACGGAGGTCGGCAATCGTGAATACCTCGGCCCCGCCGGGAGCACCTGCACGGAGAAACTCACCCCCTCCATCTGCAGACGGAGGTCAAGTTGGGCAAAGCCGGTGCGTGGCAACTGGTGTAACTTCCCCGACAACGTCTTTGGTGCGGATAAGACCGCTGTCTTTCCCGCCGCATAACGGCAGTCCTCGATAGCAACTCGTTTGTCCAAACTGGCCCTCTCTGTGCCGTTGTTGCCACAGAACTTCATCGCCGCCACCGTAAAAACTCGCGCGTCGATGTCGAGCATCCCTTTAACATGCGCACGAAGCAACACAACAAAGTCACCCGTCTCAGTCCTTTGACCCTCCCCTTTCTCCGTCTCTTGTAGAGAAACATGCATGCCGGTCACCTGCAGGGTGCTCCTGCCGAGGGGATACGGCAGTGGCACTACGGCTGATGATGACAATGACGGCGTGGCAATACCTTTGGTGACGCGGGAAAGCTTATGATCATTCACCACGTCCTTATCTCTGCCAATGCCCTGAGACCGGGCAAGCGCATCATGGACAGAGGCCACAAACACTTCTGCAAAAACATGGCGTACCATCATCTAGTCTTCCCTCTTCCCAGCTGAGTTCGTGCTCTCCCTCTTCTGCCTCTTCTATGTGGACTTTGTTGCTTGTGCGGCCCCCTTTGCGTTTTTAGTTAAGTGCAATCACAGCAAAAAAAAAAAGGGAATCAAATATACAGGCAGACCACATAAAGTGAGCGAGAGTGTGTTATTTTGTGCGTTTGTAATAAATCAGATAAATAAATGTAGAACTGCTGATTTTTTTTCCTCCCCAACGATGTTATTCAGCCGCTTACTGCTTTTGTTCCTTTGTTTGTTTGTTTGTTTTTTATTTAAAATCATACTTACTTTTTCATGTTTCCCCTCCTATTCCATTTCTTCTTCGCGGGTTAACCGTGAAAAAGCGATAACACCGCCAGAGACAGATGTCATTTTACGCAACACTTCCTTGTGTGTGTGTGTGTGTGTGTGTGTGTGTGTGTGTGTATCCGTCTCGCTCTCTCTCGCTCTCCCTCTCTCTATGTTACCCCCTCCTTCTCTTCTTGCGTGTACCCGCATGATTGTTTCCAGCTTTATTTCCCTCCCCGCCGAGGCTTGTCGTCTTCGACGTGTTCCTCCTGTTTCGTGGAGCTTTTTGCCCCTCGCCCCCTAATTTCCCGTTTTTGCGTCCAGAGGCACCGCGTGCCTCTGCCCCACGCTTCACATCGCCATCACAACCTTCGGAATCAGACAAATCATCCTCATCGTCCTCGTCGTCGTTGTCACTCGCCATAGCGAGATGGCCCTCGTCACTCTCAAAGTACCCCGTCAGATGCACCACATTTTCCGGCGACGTCGGTGTGTCGTGCGCATTCTTGCCATTCCTATTCTTGCCATCTTTCCTGACCTTCTGCTTGCTGCCGTCATCTGGGCGCTTCTCCCCCGCCGCCACTAAAATAAATGACACCTTCTGCGTGAAGACAAGCTGCAGCGGAACGTAGTAGATGTCGTGTTTTGGCGACAGAGTGCAAACGGCAAAGCGATGGGGTTGATCGTGGCTCTGCACGTACAGCGTGACGGGCCCTGTGGTGGTAGATGTCAGCGCACAGTGTGAGAGCACCAGTGAACTATTCGGCGGCATGGGTGGAGTCACCGGCACACCGTCAGGCCGCATAGCCACACCGAAGAAACAGTGAAGCGACATTTCTTCCCTCCTGCTTTTGCCATGACAAGTGTGGAGACAAACAAAGAAACAAGGGAAAAAAAGAAGGGGCCTTTCAAACAACACAAAGAAGGGAGCGGCTCGCACAGACGCGCATCCGCCCGCAGTAGATTGAGTTACATGTGCGTTGATGTGCAGCCAGCACATATGCATTTGTGTGTGTGTGTGTGTGTGTGTGTGTGTGTGTGTGTGTGTGTGGGAGGGGGGGAAAACTACACCAAAAAAAAAAAACACGCAGAAAACAAGTTATAGATGACGCCTGTGGGGCTTGACAGCCCGTCACGCTGCAGAATCACTCTCTTCCTTTTTTTTTCTTCTTCTTTTCTCCTTCTTTTCTGGAATGCGTGAAGTACGTGGGAAAAATGATTGCCTTGGAAGACACGAGAAATAAAAAAAAAGCCTAATCAACATATCTGCCTGTCCCATGTGGCTTCGGCTTCCCACCGCCCCGCTTTGCCTTTCACCCCCCCGTTTATTTGTGTTGGTTGTTCGTGTTTTGGCGTCAAAGTGGCGTTCTTTGGTCTCCTCCGTCTCGGAATTCCATTTCCTCCATTTATTTACCGCCACAACTACAAATTTCTTTCCAAAAAGGCACCGTGCACATCAACACCCTCAAGAGCCCGGAACGAAGGTCACGCCCCCCCCCCCTCCCAATACACACAGGCATGAACACACACACAGACGGACAAACAGGGAAATGGCGTGTTTGTGTGTCCGTGGAAGAGAGAAGGGAGAAAGAAACAGATATTTAATCGCAACAAAACCCACAAAAAAAAAAGAAAAAGAAAAAAAACAAATAAAAAAAGCAAATAAGTACAGAGCAAAAGAAGAAAAAAAAAAAAAAATCGATGCGCGGTAAGCGAGCCATGCCAATTCATATACATACGGATACATGGGTATCCATTGTACCTAAGTTCAAATAATGGGATAAAAACAAAAGAACAAAAAAGTAAAAAAAGAAAGAAAGAAAGACCGAAGCATCTCCTCGTAACGCCAATTGCAAGTGTCCAACATCAAATTATACCCACACCGAAAACCTCTCAGCCGGTTGTTCAAGAAAAAAGGACGCACGCACGCACGCACACACACACACGCACAACAATATATATAACAGAAAGCATTTAATAATTAAATAAATAAGGAATAAGGAAAAAAGAAAAAAACCTCACATCTGCGCACTGTAATTCGGACCGCCACCTCCCTCCGGCACACTCCAGTTGATGTTCTGCGTGGGATCCTTGATATCACAAGCTTTACAATGCAGACAGTTCTGTGCGTTGATGACCAATTTCCCATCCACGAATTCGTACACCTTTGCAGGACAATACTTCCCCTCAGGACCCTCATACACAGCAAGATTGACTTTTTCCGGCACTGAAGAGTCCTTCAGCTTGAGGTGCGCCGGTTGGTCGGCGTTGTGCGCAGTGCCGCTACGGCTATGGTTGGTGAGAAGATCAAAGGTGAGTTTCCCGTCAGGCTTCGGGTACTCGATTGGCTCACAATCCGCGGCGACTTTGAGGGCCTCGTGGTCCGGCTTGTGATGTGAGAGCGTCCATGGCTCCCAGCCGCGCGTGATTGTTGTTGTGATCCCTGTGTACAAGACACCCTGGAAGAAGTTGCGTGCAAACACCTGACGCACATTGCGCACCGCGTAAAGCTCCTTGTGCAGCCAACTGTTGCGGAACCGATCGTCGTAGCTCCTGCACTCCACCCCATCTCGCTTTTCCTTTCCGGAAGCAAAGGCGTCATCGTACACCGCCTCTGCTGCAAGTATGCCAGACTTCATTGCCGTGTGGGTCCCTTTAATCTTTGGCAGGTTCAGAAATCCGGCGCAGTCACCAACGAGCAGGCCACCGGGGAAGTGTAATTTGGGCAGAGAGACGTAACCGCCCTCAACAAGGGTTCGTGCGCCGTACAGCAGGGGTTTTCCATCCTTCAGTTGCGACGAAATCAACTTGTGCGTCTTCCATTTCTGCATTTCCATGTACGGTCGGATATGCGGGTTGCTATAGTCCAGACCAATAACGAAGCCAAGTGAAATCAATCCATCGCCGTAGTGATACATGAAGGAGCCACCGTATGTGTTGTGATGTCCCTTGTCCGTGAGGGGCCATCCAATGGTGTGCATCACCGTCCCAGGACGATGCGTCTCCGCTGGCACTTCCCACACTTCCTTGATGCCGAGCCCATAAGTCTGGAAATTTCCCTCACCGCGGAGACCAAACCTTTTCTCTAGCTGCTTTGTACAGGATCCACGGCATCCTTCGGCAAATATAGTTTGCTTTGCCTTGAAGATCATGCCAGGTTCGTATTGGGGTGTTTTTTCACCCCTCTTGTTGATACCAACATCATTCAGCTGCACCCCTTCTAGCACCTCGCCACTGCCGTCATACACTGGCTGCGCTGCGGCAAAGCCTGGGTATATCTCCACACCCAACTCCGTCGCCCGCTCGCCTAGCCATTTACAAACGGAACCAAGAGACACAATGTAGGAATGGCGATTGTGTAGTGTGGGAGGAAGCAACGGCGACTTCATGCTTCGCTCCTTATCCCGAAGAAGATATAATGCATCATTCTTGACAGCTGTCATTGTCGGCAGATCTGTGGCTTTGTGCCAGTCCGGTAACAACTCATCTAGCGAGTGTGTCTCAATACAGGCGCCAGAGAGCGTGTGCGCCCCAATCTCACTTCCCTTCTCGACGAGTCCAACCCGAAAGTCGTCCTTCGCATCGCCGGCAAGCTGTTTCAGGCGGATGGCCGCAGATAATCCCGCGGGGCCACCCCCCACAATAACAACGTCAAATTCCTCCACCATCCGTTCCACAGGAGCGCAAAAAATGCGGCAGGAACGACGAAACATGAATGAATATGGTACGCTGGCAGTGTATTTAATTAATAATGTACTATCCACCTAGACAAGTCTGAATGTTCGCGGTAATGATTCCTGCAAAGATGGGAGAAGATGTAAAAAGTGAAAATAAAAATAAAAATCATAGAGAAAGAGAAACAAAGGCACATTTATTTTTATTTTTATTTTTTGTTTTGTGTGTGTATGTTTTGGTGTCGTTTATGAATAATATTTCTTTCAATACATGTGTGTTTATTTGTGTGTGTGTGTGGATGTATGTGTTTATTTATTATTCTCTGTTTCTCTTCATCTTCTCGGCGGCGGGGCACATAAATTCAAAAGAAGGGGTAATTCCTACATATCCCTCATTTCGCCGGCCCAACGAAGAAAAGGCGTACTCAAGCACGTTAAAAATAAAAGCCAAGCAAAAAAAAAAAAAAAAAAAAAGGACAGTAACTTAAAGAGATACAAGAGGGAAGGAGATAAATCAGCGGGCATGCGCACTCACGGCCGTTCCTCAAACTTTCCACAGAGGCACCCTTATATATATATATATATATATGTATATATCCCTAGTAACACGGGCATTCAAACATACCCCGTGTTATTGAAATAACAGAACACGAGTAGAAAAAAAGAAAAAAAAAAAAAAAAAGAGAATGTACATTATAAGCAGAAAATCAGCCTTTTATTTCATCTGTACATTCCTTTCCTTCTTTCTTTATCTATCCCTGTCTTTTTTTTTTTTTTTTCCTCCGACATTCCACTTTCTTTCGTTTTTTTTTGTTTGTTTGTTTCTTTTCTTTTCACTTCGTATTTTTCCCCTTCACCTGCACAATCACGCCACATGGTGGCGTAGTAGCAGTAGTAAAAACAAAGTTGTTGCGCTGGCCGCAAACGTGTAGTCATCCCACCGCCACTCATGCGACACCACATCAGGCAATGTTCCTGACCCGGTAGAGAGCAGCTGCTTCGGCCCCTGATGTTCCTGTCTTTGTCTTTGTCTTTGTTGTTGTTGTTGTTGTTCATGAAGCTCCGGCGCCACTGACGCTTTTTCAGTTTCATTTTCCGCACCACTGCCACCGTCACCGCCACCGCCACCACGCGCCATCGGCATCGGTAACCGCAGCATCCCGGAAAAGCCGAACTGCTGGTGCGAAAAGTACAGCCACCACCACTGGAGGTTGAGGGTCATTAACGCCAGCTTCACAGCGTAGCCGCTCCCGCCTGAGCCAAACTCCATGGCACGGTCGTAATACCGCTTTGCCAAGTACAGCCGCATCTCCTCCGCAAGAACAGCGTCCTTGACATTCTTCGTACTCGTCGTCCTGCTAAAATTGGCTTCACTTCCACTTTTGCCTCCTCCTTCTGTCTCGTCCTCTAGTAAGGTGTTGGTAATGATGCGGTAAAGGGCATCGGAGACGCTGGAGACTTGGTCCCTGCCAGAAACGCCAAGCCCTAATTGGTACATAAATCCCAAATTAAAATATGCCTTGGGGTCTTGTTTCGCCGCAGCAGCCTCGTAATGCAGCAACGCCCGCGACATGCTTACGCCAACAAGTTGGCTCTCACCGTAGTAATAGAAATCTCCTAGTCGCAAGTTGGCCTCCGCACTGCCAGAAAGAGCGGACAATCCGTACATTCGCAGTCGCAACATGTTAAGCGCCTCTCTCTGCGACAAAAGTCGTGCGTCCGCAAGTGGAATAAGTGATGCTTCCCCAGTGGGCACGGGACGCATGGAGTTGTGGTACCACTGCAGCCACACGACGCCACTTTCCATACGCAGGGCGCGCTCAGGAGGGCGGCCACTCTTTGCAAAGACGCCGTCCTCAAGTTCATCGTCTGTCTCTTCAATGATGGGCAATTTATCCAACAGTTGCGCGACCTGGTACCGAGACGCGGCATGCCCGGTCTCTGCCATTGCAAGCATTTCTAAAAGCTGCGGGAAAATGTTATCTGCACTTGAAGCAAACGATGACGAATACAGCGACGACGACGACGACGACGACGACGACGATCCATCGCTGAGTGCAAAGTACGGCACTTCGTTGGTGTGGTCGAAAATAGAGTCAAACCCCGCCACACGACTGTATAATTGCATCGCCTGTTCGCAGTTTCCCTTTCTCTGCTCATGGCGTGCGAGTTGCCAAATGGAGAGAACGTTTCCTCGCATCGCTGCTAATCCAAACTGCTTGATCGCGGCGGCTGGATCATACGGCACCCCGCGACCGTGCAGAAGCAGCACCCCAAGGTTGTGCGTTCCCTCCACGCTTCCGCGGTCAACACTCTCGGCAAAGAACTTTGCCGCCTTCTCAAAATTCGGTTTTCGCCCCTTCGCTGCTGACGAGTTCCCGTCGCTAAAGAAACCGATCGCGTGCAGGTATCCCATGCCGTTAAGTGAGACGGCGTCCTTTTTCTCTGCTCCTTGGGAAAAATAAGTCGCGGCGGTTGCAAGATCTCGCCCAATTGCCGGATGTGCAGTACTGTCGCCCGTGGCGTACAGTCTCCCCAATGCGCCGTATGCCGCCACATCACCCTTTGCGAGGGCGTCAAGGAAATAGAGGCGTGCTTGATGCCAATTGCGACGCAATCCATAAATTCCCTTAAAATAAGCGTAGCCAAGGGAAATGATCGCGTCCGTGGAGCCCTCATCTGCTCGGAACATCAGCATCTGTACCATCTTTGAATTAGAATGCCCGCCATTTTTTAATGCGTCCGCGCTGAATTGCTTGGAAAACCGTTCTGTGGGATTAGGCATGCCCTCATAATTCGTAACGACGACGTCAGCGGCCTCGCGGTAGTGCTCCAAGGCGTCCTGGCAACTCTTCGCGACGCCCAGTCCATCTGTATACCGCCGCCCAAGAGCCATGTGAGCCTCAAATACGTTCTCCAACGCTGCAAAGGTGTAATGCAAGACCGCCTTGGCATCCGATTGCGGAACCCCAATTCCATTCGCGTGTAATACACCCAGTAACCAATGCAGACGACCGTGACCATGCAAGGTTCCCTCCCTAATAAGCTCAAAAGTAGACGAAAGGTTGCCGTTGTAGATGGAACGCACAAAGTTTTGGTAAAGCTCCGACAGCTCCACATTCGATAATTGGCTTGGTACAAACGAGTACGCATCCGCCCCTTCCGTCTCGGTTTCGGTTGTAGGGAATTCTTTCGAATAAATTTCCTCAATACCAAATTCGGCTGCCGCGTCAACCGCATTATCACGATTCATATGATGGTTCGTTTCATCAACGTCACGGTCATTTATACTATACTCCGCGGCAGAAACTGAAGGTGTGAGCGTATCCACGTCATTAACGATTGGCATAACACCATCGCCCTCCTGTTGTACAACCAACGCGAATTCCCTCATCGCATCATTTCTGCGTTTCTCATGCCTTTTTTCCTCCGACGCCTGCAGGGGATTCTTCTCTTTTGTCTCCTCCATCACATGGGCGAGCGCAAGCGAATCGGATGGCTCAACCACACTCCGGTCAGCCTCCTTTATTCCTAACGTGTCTTTTTTCGACTGAGTTAACTTCTCGGACACCGCGGAAATTTCATTCTCCCGTTGCAGCTCGGGATGTTCCTTCACGGGTAATGCTGCCCTCTCTGTGGCCGTTTTCACCGCATCCCGGGGATCCTCCTCTGAATCACCACTGGCCGTTGACAGGGACGAGGATGGACCAGAGGAGGAGGACGAGGAGGAGGGAGAAGAAGAAGAGGACAGGGCCGTAGAGGACAAAAAAGCCAAAGAAATTATTAATACTAAAAATACCGGCGTCACTGACCCCTGTGGCCGAAGGAGCCGCAGTTGCGGCAAAAACAAACCCGACATGCAAAGAATAAATGCCGTCGCTACGACAAGCCAGGAATGTTCTGCAAAACACACACACACACACACAGACAAAAAAAAAAAAAAAACCTTCTAATGCTGAACAAGAAGAAAGAAAAAACACCTAACTTCCTCCCCTTCCTTGCAGTGGACGCAGCACACAAAAGAATAGATGGGGAGAAAAGCAAAAAATAAAAGATCTTAAGAGATCCAAATAAAAACACAAGGCACACCACAAACATACGTATTGGTTTGCCGCTGTTGTATTTCTTGTGGTTGTTTGTATGGGAGTTTATCGCAATGAGCCTTTATTAATCGAAACGGTATCATACTCCGTTTTTTTTTTTTTTTTTTTCTTCCCAATCGCGAAAGAAGAAAAAAAAAAGTAGACTTTTAAGGAATCCCTGTTGTTTTGTGTTTTTTGTGTGCCCCTGGTCCTCCCTCTTTCATTCATTTACCTTTTTTTTTTTTTTATTTTTTTTTTTTTTTTTTCCTTTTCTTTTTCCTCTTCTCTCTTCTCTTGCCGCCCTCACTTTCCCCCTTCATCGCCCCCGTAAAAGTAGGCCTCCAGCGCCGCGGTATCGGTGCAGGCGGCCAGTGTGCACGCGAGGGAGACTCGAATCATCTTCGTGTCGTCTTCTTTTGACAACATGCCGCGCACAACGTCGCGGTGGTACGGCAGGCGTATCTTCACCTCCTTTGAAACGCGCATCTCCGCCTCGGTGCTCTCCACGAATCCAAAGCACGAGAAAGAGAACCCTTTGGGCATGTCCATTAAACTACGGTAATTTCCCAACGGTCCATTTGACGCCTCCTGCCGCTGGGTAACACACGCGAGAGGTGGAGAAGAAGGGACAAGGGAAAACGAAAGCGCCACAACACTGTGCTCCAGTGCCGCGCACACCATATCGTCCGTCATATCACGGGCATCGTCCACGCCGGCAAGCACAATCGAATCAAACTGCCTCAGTTGACCCTTGAACAACGTCGTGGACTCATCCGCTTCTGTCAGTTGCAACTCGCTCCCACCATTCTGCCGCCGCTTCTCATCCAAGGTCTCGTAATAGCAGAATATAGGCGCCAAATGCTGCTGCCAAATGGCACTACGAATAGCAGAGGCTTTAGGCTGTATACCCTGCTGCAGTGATCCCTCGCTCCGCGTTACGTTTACCGTATGCACTCTCCCAGACCACTCAGCGGTAGTAGCATACTCCGGTCTATTCATGACGGAATGCGGGTACGGGAGACGCCCAATGACGTCGTTCACTTTCCTTTTCGTGTTTTCCAACTCGGCACGGCGCACAAAAAACCTTTTGTGCAGAACCTCCGAATTGAGGCCTTTGGTAGGACACATGAGCAACTCGCTGTCGCGCGCCCAGCGTGTCTCCCCTTCCTTCACCAAGTGAACAATGTGCTTGGGTTGTAGGCGGCGTATCGCCTCCACCGTCATGCGCCGTCCCGTGCTAAGCACCCAACCGTGTGTGTTCACCACGACAGGAAACCGTCGCTGCAGTGGCCCAACGATGGCACAAAGCTGCTCAATGGCGATCGCTGTCGCTACTGGGCAACGCGGACGTGAGCCGCCGAGGAAAAACCCCTTCACAAGTTTAACCTTCTTTGTGTCACGTGGGCGAAGAAGAGGTTGTTTAACGCAGTAGAGAGAAAATACCCCAGGGGGAGAAAACTCCGGCTGTCCGAGATCCAAATCGAGCCAGTAGCAGACACCATGCTGTGAAAATAGGGCATTTGTAATAAACCGCGCAAGAGTCGACTTGCCGATGTTCTGTGAACCCAACACAACCACCACGCCGGTGGCTTGCTTCACAATGGCAGGAATTACCTCCGGTAACAAGACCGCATCAATACCAACATCATTTCCACGTGCAACAAAGCGTGGAACGTCCATAAAAGCGTCGTTTAATTTCTTCCCCTTCCCTTTAAGACGATGCCGGCGCGTTGGGGGCAGACCGTAAGGTTCATATGGCTGCACAACTAGCACAATGCTTGGCATCTTGTTCGCAAATCGTCCCCGCCAAGACCTAATGGTTGTCTCCACCCAAACCCAATCAATAGCGCCAAAAATCTCCACGTCATTATCGTCCGCCGCATCCTCATAACTTTCTCGTATCGTCGGAGGAACGACAGTGACCGGGTCGTTTTTTGCCTTGAAAGAGAATGGCACTGGCACCGGAAGAGACTCCAAACCCGCATTCTTGCTTTTTAGGCGTTGCACAGGCGTCAAAACAACCCTATCGGCTTCACTGTAAAGATTAATTTGTTTCTTTCCGAGAAAGAAACCACCAACGGCAACTTCACCAATACCAAACCCAATGATGCCACAAGGGCCCTGAACAGTGACGGGCCCGCTCAGACACATAAGTGTGTGGTGGCACGGACGCATGGCCTCTCGGGCAATGTGCATCTCAAAGAACATCGAAGTGTAGCGGTAACGGCGGTCACTATTGTGGTTGGTCGCAGCATCCACTCCACCCTCATCCCTGACCGCCCCCATTTTCCCTTTTTGCGCTTGTTGTTCCCTTTGCTGCTGACGCCGGCGTTCAAGAAGACCAAATCCAGCTCGGTCTCCTTCGTTCTTGGGCGGAATATTATTATCCTTATCATCTTCACCTCCATCATCATTTTCAGAGCTCTCACTCCCGCTGGTTTCTTCCTCCTCTTCCTCTTCCTCTTCCTCTTCTGAAAGAGATTCAATGTTTTCGCTCTCATAGCCGGCAAAGTGTCGATCGATCACCCTCCTTTGCTTTTCCGCACGCGCATCCGCATTGCCGTCATCATCCTGTAATTTTTCATCCGACCAAGATGAGATTAGAGAAGAAGAGTCACTGTCTTCAGCCCCTCCTGTAGCGGCAAAGCGAATAAATTCATCATTGCTATTGGCAAAATGCTCGGCTGGTGGATTCAATTCTCCCCTTCGCTGCTGACCCTCGCCTTGTCGAGGTTGCGGTCGAGGAATTCGGCGCACCGAAACCAGCGCTCTCAAATCATCACCTGCCTCAATATCCGACGCTGACGCGTGATGTTTTGCCGCAGCCAGCTTTTTCAAGCGAATTACCTCAGCGACACCTTCTGCCGCACTGTCCTCCTCAACGTTCCCCCTACCGGATGCGGACGGTGTCTTTCCGAGGCGTGTCAGCACTTTATCCGGTAGTTTTAGCCGCTTTACCGGTGGCGCCGTGTCCATATCGTCCCTGTTGCCCCCTTCCGGCAATGCGGTGACGGCATCGGACGGCGCCCATGGGTGGACCAAAGGAATTCCCCCGCCGCGAGTCGTGGTCTCCTCCGCCCCTGCAGACACCTCGGTGGTGCCAGTGGACAGAAGCCGCCTCGTCCTCCGCATAGCCACTATGATCAATAGACAAGAGAAAAAAAAAAGAGCAAATCCAAAAATAAAAGAAAAGGTCAAAAATCATTCGGTAGTCTAACCTAATAAAACAAATATTTTCTCACGTCAGGCTCAAACAGAAAAACAGAAACAAATACCCTCCAAGAATATCCGCAGAGCGCACACTCGGAGGATTGATGGAATGGTTCCACGGCACACAGTGATCACCCAAGTGAGGACGTAAAAAAAAAAAAAAACAACAACTGATAAAAGTCTCTCTCTCTTCTCTTTGACTTTGTTTTTTTTTTTTTTTCTTTTCCTGCTGTTTTCCTCATCCCCGGTCCACTGGGCGCCCGTGCATCGCTCATCCGTCCCTCTCCGATTCTCTTTTTTTGGTCACCACTCTGATTGTCTCTAAAATAATTATTCCATTAAACGGGAACGTGTGCACACGGTCTCTCCCTCTCCCTCTTCTCTCTCTTAGTGCACGTTACTTTTATTTTTATTTTAGGCAAAAGCAAATTGTATTTTAAAGGCCAAAGACAGAAACAAACAGACACACACTTGCATACAACATTGTAAAATCAATGGTGTTGCCCGCTTCACCGGAATTAACGAACTGTCGCTCGCCCTGCAGTCACCTCCAACTGTTGACTCCTTCGTTTATTCCCCTGCTTCTTTCGTCCCGGCTGCAAAAGTGACGGTCTTTCTGTTCTCCTTTCGGCCCGCTGCTGTCTTCTTTTCCGACGCTGCTATCGAGGCATTCAACTCGGCTCGTGCTAAGAGTTGGCGCTTCTGCTCTTCTAGAATACGGGAAAGGGACTCCTGCGTCCTCTCTGACCGCAATTTGCGGCGGGAGCTGCGGACCAAAAGACGCTCCTGCATCTTTCTCTGTAACAACTTGGCGTGTGCTATTCTCTCCCGCAGTGTCATATGCGCAGCCCTTTCGGCAGACTTGGCAATTTCCAACGCCTTCTTGTGCTCCTCGTCAAATACGCTGCTACCAGCGGCCTTCTTTGTATTCGGTCGTGGGGTTTGCCGTTCCGGCTGGTCACTTGTGTCGCATCCGCCCTTGTGGGAATCGTGCGTCCGTTCCACCCCGGTGTGAGGAGTTAAGGAGATCTCCTTCTTGCTGCGCTTCTTGGGCGGCTCTTCCTCCTCGGTTGCATTATTCTTCTTCCTTTTCGGCTGCGTCTTTGTTCCCTGCGCTTCCCTTTTACTGGAGTCGGTTGCTGCCGCTGTCTCCTCCTTATTTTTATCCTCATATTCACCAGCCTCGGCGTCAACAACTTCCTGTTGAGCCTGCGTCTTTTTCTTCCTTTCCTCCTCCATTAGAGCCGCCTGTGCCCTTTCGCTCTTTGCTAGTAGGGCCCTTCGACTACGTACCTTCAGCTCTCCGTCTTCGCTGATACGAAAGCGCAGAGCCTTCTGCCTGCGTATATTGTCCAGTATCTTCTCCCTTTCTGCATTCAGCGACTTAGGAATTTCGCCCTTGATGGGCAGCACACAATTTAGTACGCCATTTTTAACATCAAACTCGTATTCCGCCTGATTGGAGTTAATGCGCATTCCTTCCGGTATAGGAAGCTCCAGTCGGTACTTCTTTGTGTGCTTACTCGTGTCGACAACAAGCATCTCATCCGTCGTCTCGCTAACATCCACATGTACCGGGGGAACATGGTGCAGTTTCACATCCACAAGAATTTGCTTCTTCTTGTAGTGCACCTCAATGCCATACGGTGGTTCTTGTAAACGGGGGTGCTTCGACGATGCCGTTGATGCTGGAGAGGCGGAAGAAGGGCGTTGCCGCTTCACTCCCTTTTTTTTATCCCCGCCCACGTTCACGCTGCCGCGCTTCACGCGTCCCGACGTTGCAGAAGGGGCATCCGTGAGCATCCGCTGTCGCATCTCCTCCACTTCAGAAGGCAAAATAATGGCGCCCCTCCGTCTGGTGTGGGTGGTGTTGGTGGTGGGCCCCGTTGCGTTCTTCATGCGCTTTTCTTGTCGGCGTTCTCTCGCCGCCGCCTCCTTGCGGGAAAGCCGCGACTGCTTGGCTATCTTGCGGAGCTCCGCCTCCTCCTTCCTCATCTGCGAGGACGACGGCATTTTCAACGCTGCTCGCCCTCCCCGTCACTAATCCCGGCTGCGCTGCCTTCTCCCCCTCCTCCTTCTCGACTCGTGCACACGAATCCTCTGTGCGCTCAGCCAAAGGAGCCACAAGAAAGCAAAAAAAAAAAAAAAAAGAGTTTTTACCACGCGTTTCCCCCTCCTTTTGTGTGTGTGTGTGTTTAACCGTCTCCAATTCTGATCGCTATTTTCCCTTTTTCCCCCTCCTTTTTTCCTGGCGTCTGTCCTGCGGCCCCCCCCCACTCCACTCCACCCCCCAACAGTCAAAAAAGCAACGCAAAGAAACAAATGCACACCAAACAAAACAAAGTTTAAACAGTCACAAAACAACAACAACAACAACAAAATCTAAAATATTAAGAATAGCAATAATTCCAAAGAAAGGCAAAAGAAAAAAACACAAGGAAAAAAATATATATATTTATATATATATATATATATACCACTATCCATCAATATACGTATGCATAAACATACGGCCATATATCTGTATATAGGTATGGATAAAGAAGGCGAGAGTGAGAAAAAGATTTAAATATACATATGTACCCACATATAAAAGTTTATTTACATGAATGTAAATATGCATCCAAAAGCGGGTACCAAACTGTTGCCTCTCAACGTCCCTGTGTAAATAGGGCGCAGATGTACATTGAAGGTAAAGCAAACAAGAAAGAAAGAAAAAAAAAAAACACAAAAAAACACATATACGTATATATTTGTATTTATATTTATTTATATATTTATATACATGTCGTAACAAAGAAAATAAAAAATCCAGCAAGCACAAAATAGAAAGAAGAGGAAGGAGAAAAAAAAAAAAAAGTCAAAAAATGGTTGCCCATCTTCATGCAGTCGTCTTGTTTTTGGTTGTTGTTGTTGTTTTCGTTTTTTTTTTTTTTTCTTTTTTTTTATTACTTTTTTCTTTCTTCATTTTGTCTCCTGCCTTTCCGGTCCCGTCTTCTTTCTGATTTTTTTCTTTTCTTCTTGTTGTTGTTTCCTTCGCGGGACATTCCCCCCTGCACGCCAGATCCTGCAGAGAAGGAAAAAAAAAAAAAAAAATAGCACGACCGCAGTGCACCTTCATTTCTCGTTGCCAGCGAAATTTCGCCCACCGAAGACGGTGGCAGTCGTGCAGGAAGAGAGAAGAGAGGGAAAATGCATGGATGGTGTTTTGAGACGGTGGCTTTAAACTCCGCTGAAAAACAAACAAGAAGAAAAAATAAATAAATAAACAAAACACACACAGACAAACATAACAGAAAAAAAAAAGAAAAAAGGGAAAAAAAAAAAAAAAAAAGGACGCCAGCGCTGCGCTACAACGTCCATGGCACCATTTTCTCCCCCAAATGCAACTCCTTTGGTTTGAGGGTCCACCACCCTTTTTTTTGGCACGCTTTTGCTCGCAAAGTTTGTGCCAACGGTGACGGCTGTCCTCCTCCTCCTCCTCCTCCTCCCTTTTCTTCTCGTTGTTCCTCCTCCTCCCCCTCCTCTTGTCGGCCGGTGTGACTCGGAGCGCCTCTGGAAGACGGCCACTGCACACACCTCTCCAATGCCGTAATGGGAGAAAGGTGGTGCAGGTCAAACCCAGCAACCTGACGCGAACGCTTAATGGTCGCAACCGCACGGCGCTCGTAGAACCCCATACTCCCCGTGGCGTACCACTGACTCTCCGCACCGGTGCAACGACCACTTCCATCAGCATTTATCATGTTATTGAAGTGCAGGTAAAACTGGGCTGTGTTTTCGCAGGTTCTTCGTATTCGTGCCACGGACGCCGCCTGCTTCGCACCAACAACACTGGCAAGTGTTGTTTCGTCCGATGTGGGCTTTGACCGTGTCCCATCGAGTGGGTTAGGTGCCGTCAAAGAGGACCGAAAAAAAGATGACGGGGTCGTCACGGTCATACCAAAACCTCCAGCGGCGGAAACCAAGCCATATTTACAAGTATCAGACAAGCCACAGTTTCCTGTAGCTTGCGTGGATGCCATCTTCGTTTGCGGAGACAATTGAGAACAAAGAGCTTCTCCTTCCACCGATTCGCGTGCCACAACCGTCGATTGTCGAGTCCGGATTTTTAAAGAGACAAGTTCCCGTCGTACATTGCGTACTGTCAATTTTTCAGCAAGTTCCGATACATTCTGTCGTCCCATGGATCGAATTGATTGCGTACCTGAAGACACTGTGCGAAATAAAAATGACCCCGGCGACGGTTGCCGTTGTCCCTGTGACGCCTTGCATGACGCGGTCGACTTTTTGAATAAAGCGGAAATGGTAGAAGAAAGGGAAAAACTCTTCAACGGAACTAATTCCTTCCTCAACGAAAGCGGAGGACCAGCGCTGCCATCAATAAATTGGCTTTCCAGTGCGGTATTATCCCCCCATTCCGGTGAGTGCTTCAATGTTGACTGTAATGAAGAAAAAGTATTCTCTGCAACGGCACCGTCTTCATGCATATGTCGCTTCCCCGCATGCAACTTGGAACCTGGTTGCCGGGGCATCAAATTAGATGGCAGCCGAGAGGAAAATTCTCCGGTGCGCTGACATGAATCATTACCCGCGTTAGAAAAAAAGGATCTCTTGCAGTTATCTGGACGCCGACGAAAAGGAAAATGACGACTTTGTTCGTGACGGCTGCAGCTACGACTGGAAGATCGCCCAGCTCTGTAGGGCGAGTGAATTCGCGACGGTGACTGCGGCCTATCCCCCTCCCCCTGACTCATGGACTGAACGGCGCTTGTCGGCCTCGTTACGCCCACATTCCCACCAGGTAAACTTGCCTGCAAACGCTCCTCAGCCTCCGCTATTATTGCCTGCTCTCGCGCACGAAACCGACGTAATCGTTCACGGTGCTGCTCAAGAACGGCTTTGCGACTATCAACTCCCGTCATGAAAAAATACAATTCGCCTTTAACACGTCCTATGGTTTCAATAACTACCGAGCGAAGCGTGTCTATTGTGTGGATAAAAAGCTGCTCGTCATACTCCCATTGCGTCATGCTTGGAAGCGTCCTCTCAACAAGTCCAGAAAATGCAATCTTCTCAGTTGTTCCTCCGTAAATTTGCCTGGCATGACACCACTTGTCCACGGCACCTTTAAAGGTCCCCAGACGGCCCGTTCCGCGGCGTGCCCCATAGCGGCCCTCACAAACAACAATGGTGGCCCAGCTCAGCAGTGTCTCACGGTACGTATGAAGAAAGAAAGAACGAGAAGATGCCGGTTCAAATGACATGTTTAAGATACTCTGAAAAATATCCCTAAAACTCTTAACAACGTCCATCAATAGTTCCAAAATGACAGGTGGAAAGACATCCGCAATTTCATCCATACTTATCAATCGGTTTAAGCGCACACTGCCGTAAATGACCCGCATAACAGACTGAAGTGGTAGCAGCGCAGGTTCCGGATGCATAAAGTTATTCATGGCGGAGAGGATTGTGTTATTCGCGCCATCAGAAGCATGTTGTTGTTCCGATGCAAAAGAAAAATCCACTTCTCCTGTCATTCCCTTGGGTGTTGACAGTGGCGACCCGCAGGTACTAAACGGAGCAACGCCGTAACCACCAAAGGCAATAATGAGGAGTGGTGCGAGGGTCTTGGGGCGCCAATCATCCGCCTCCTCAGGTGAATTTACTCGCGAATTTTTACCGCTTTTAAAAGTCTCGACGGTATTGGCATTTCCATTCATCAAGCCCTGGCTGCCTTGTAACGTGGAGTCCTTGGAGCCACTGGGAGGACGTTGCCATAATGCGATGCCACGCGCGACTCGCAGCGGAAGCCCACAAGCATGAAGAGGCGGACGCTGCATCATCGGAACAGTGGAGGAAAGCCAGATGCCCTTCTGGAGAGCCACGCTTTGCAGCGCCTGTGTGAGCGACATGGAATCCTGATGAAGGAAGTAGCGATTGTCCACTTTTGTCTCCTCATTAAATGCCGTCAATGTCTTATTATTATCCGACTTCACTTCGGTCACATGACGCAATTCCGTTAATTGTGGTGCTGTTTGGGTCAATTGTGTGGGTGAATCTCTTTTCCTCCAATCGCCAACCGAACACGCTTCTCGTGTTTTTGAGCAAGACATAGCTTCCGCCTTCCGACTGCGTTGACGTAATGTACGGTAATCTTCCGGATCCCCTTCGTACAGCTCCACAGGGAGGGAGCGCATAAGAACATATGTCACCAAGCGTCCGGTAGCCTCGGCGCATTTCTGCACAGTGGGCTCCTCTGCGAGCCATTTTAACAACTGTCTCACATGGCTGTGTGGCGCCGCGTCCACAGGCGTATCAAGAAGAGTCTCACAGACACCTGTCAAATCTTCAAAGGGGTAATTTTGAAAGCCGGCCGTTCTACATGTCGATGTGCGGCCATCATCCCTCCCTCTTCTCGATTGCTGTGAGACCAAATCAAAACTCAACAGTGCCTTCATGAGGTGCCGCCGTACCCCTTGTGTGCGGCGTTCCTGCTCAAAAGCGAGCGTATCACGCAGCGCGTCGCCAACATGTTCGCCGTTGCTTTGGTGGATAATTGAGGGGTCCGTCTCATATAAAGGAAAAGACTCATCCAATCCCGAAAGTCCCTGCCAATGCGGAGCAGAGAGCGTCAGTTCAAAACGTCGCCCCCAATCGTCACATCCAGGTGCCATTGATGATTCCTTGCTCCGGAACGCATATTCTTCTGTCGGAGAGTCAGGTCTCCCCTCCTTCCCTTGCTGCTGCCCCTGCTGCTGTTGCTGCTCTTCACTGTCCTCCGTGTGTACCAGTTGCGAGAGAGCAGGCACTGGGAAGACTCGTTTGCTACAATCAAACGTTTCCCTGTTGTAGAGTTTCTCGTACCGATCAACTAAGTAGCGAAGCTGCTCGAGTAACCTCTCCTCAGCATTTACAGAGTCCGAGTGAGGTAAATTTTCTTTGCGCAAAGGTTCCGAAACTTCATTCTCGCCGTCCTTCTGAGGCTCCACATGTTCGTTTATGTAATCCCTTGCGCCGGTGTCAGACGCGCTTGGCGTTCCATCGGGAGCAGCCACACGAGTATTTGCCTCATGAGAAGAAAAAGGCGTGGGAAATTCGGAGGGCGACGGTGTAGAGTTGGCCTCCGCCTCCCGTATAAGTTTTTTCGCCGCGTAGTACGCGTAGATTCGCTCGCGTCTCTCTTTTGGTGTGGGCCGCACATAGCGAACCGGGGCATGAAAAATGTCGTTTTTCCCCTTCTTAGTGGATTCGCCAGCCCCTCTCCACCCCGCAGAAGCAGCAGCGGCAGGAAATCCCTGCCCGTTAGCCCCCGTCGGAGAAGAACAGTGTGCGAAGAGGGGGAGGGCGGAAAATGCCGTATTTGACACCTTCTTTGGGTTCACTGCCCTCGTGCCAGGGTCGGGTTTAACGCCGGCGGCTGGTGTGTTTATCGGGTTGAGTAGTTTCTTCCCCGCTTTTTGCAAGTGGCCGTCAGCGTCACCGGTAGCCGCAGCCACCCCGGCTCCACCCGCACTCCGAAGACAGGGATCGCCGTGCAGCGGCAGCAGTTCGTCCCCAATTTTGTTGTCCTTGTTGCTGTTGCTGTTGGTGGTGGTCCTCGTCGTCGTGTAGGGACTTGCGGGCCTCGACTCGTGTGATATTTTCCTTTTTGTCGTGTACATGTTTCTATGTGCGTTGGTGCGTGCGTCACTTCGGCCCGGAGAAATAGAGGCAGGCCGCGAAGGATACTGCGGGTGGATGTAAGAATGTGGCACCGCCCAGCCACAGACAGGCGTGTCCCTCCTCCCCTTTTTGTTTTCTCTTTTTGTTGTTGTTTGGTTCAGGAAGAAAAAGAGAGCGAGAGGCAAAAAAAAAAAAAAAAAAAGGAAAGAGATGTGTGGAAGGTCGGCAACTGCAGGCAAGGCGAGAAATGAAGCACAAACACAAACACCGTCGGAAGGGGGACGGTGGAGATGGTGAGCGCCGGTGCGAGAAATGAGACATGACAGAGAAACACACATCGACAGACACACAGAAATAAATAAATAAATAAAAAACTTGTTGTTTGCTTCTTTTTTTTTTTTTTCCCTTCCTTTTTTTTTTATTGGAAAAAGGGCTGCATCACCTCTTGTTTATCCTCTGCTCCTTTTGTCTCTCCCACCCCACCCCTCCTCCTCCTCCTCCTCCTTCTTTCCTCTCTTCGTGGTGCATGTTATATCGGCACTCTCCGTATTCGAGAGCCAATTTTGCATCTCTCGTGCTCCTTTTTTTTTTTTTTTGTTTTTACTTTTTCTTTGCCTTTCATTCGTCTTTATACAATACGCATATATATATATATGTATATAAATATAAATATAAATATAAATATATAAGGCTTGGCATCGGTGTTCATTCCACACACACACACACAAGTACATTTTCCGCTGTTATTTACTTACAGGGCACATGAAACATCATGTCACGTCAAGTGTACATGTGAGTCACATTACATGTGTAACTTCGGTCTGTCTGACTGTCTGTTTTTTATTTTTCTCCCTTTCCGTGTCCAAGTAAATGCATACATACGCATATATATATATATATGTATATATGTGTGTATGTATAGATGTGTGTATATATACGCATGAGGGTATGTGGGCAGGCGGATTATACATCGTGAACACACAAACACACATACACGCACACACACACACACACAAAAAAAAAAAAAAGAAGAAAAGGCAAATAAAAATAAAAAATAAAAAAAAAAGACGCATGCACGCAAGCATGTATGTTACTTGCAAGTATACACACACATGTATAAATGTATATTATATGTGTGTATGTATAAAAAAGAAGAAGAAAGGACCAAAAAAATAAAAAAAAAAAAAAAGGGAGGGGGTGGAAGACAAAAATAAAGAGATGAAAGAAAGATATAAAGAGGAAGGAAGGAAGGAAGCATGAGAGAAAGAGGGGAGGGGATGATGGAGGGGGGAAAACAAACAGATATTTAACAATAAAATGCAGCAAATGGCCATTGCCAAATGTAAGAGAAGAAAAGAAAAGAAAAGAAAAGAGGGACAGAAGAAGAAAAAAAAAAAAAAAAGAAAGAAAAAAAAAAAAGATGTAGACATCTCACCGTTTCTCATCCAGACACACACACACAAACACACACACAAAAAAAAAGATCATATATCCACAACATGCACACACAGCCATATAAAAATGCATACATGTATGAATAGGGATATATATAATAAAGAAAGCAGAAAGAAAGAAGAAAAAAAAAAAAAAAAAAGAGCATCTGCAAATACATATGAGTTTCATTGGGGATTTAATTACAAAAAAAAAAAAAAAAAAAAAGAAGAGAGGGGACGGGAGGGGAGGGGAAAGGGATCTTCGCAACAGACTCCATTGGCCACCACCGGAAGAAGGAGAAAAAAAGGAAAACAATCACCGCCCATTCGATTTTTTTCCTTTTTTCTTTTTTTCCCACCTTTTCTCCCCATCGCCCCCGCCTTTTTTTTTTTTTTTTTTTTTCGTTCTTTTTTTGTTGTTGTTGTTTTTTCTCCTCGGCCACACCGGCACATAAATGGAGAGAAAAAAAAGTGAAGAGGGGGGAGCAGCAAACCACTCGCCTCCTTCCCCCTTTTTTTGGGGGGGTTTTTTTTTTTTTGGGGGGGGGGGGGGGGGGGTTTTGGTTGTTTTTTTTTTTTTTTTTTTTTTCCTTTTGGGTTTGGCAGGCAACCAACGAGGGACCGACGGGCAAAAAAAAAAAAGGGGGGGGGGGAGAAATGAAAGAAAAAAAAAAAAAAAAGGAAAAAATAAAAGACGCACTGAGAAGTCCCCGCAAACACACACACACAAAAAAAAAAAGAGAAAAAAAGATGGGGGAACGCAGAGATGGTGGACGAGAATAATGGCGGTGGTAAATAAAAGCAAAAAATGAACAACAGGGAGGGAGGGGGAAAAGAAGGTTTAACGATTAGGGGAGAAGTAGGAGGGAGTGCACATGATAAAAGAAAGAAGAAAAAAACAAAAAAAAAAAAACGATGAGAAAAAAAAAATCACGCAAACACACACATTATGGTTATATTTATTTATTTTTATACATTCATGTATACATGACAATTCCCATCCCAATTAAAACCACGCCATATAAATAAATATATACGCAATATATACATTCAAGACATAAAAATAAATAGAAGTACGTCCATATGTCTCTTTCTCTCTTTCTCTCTCGTGTTGACTGGGCAAACCCGCCACACACACGCGCACAAACCACACATCCCCCTATGAGTCTTAAGTGCATGCCACCGGCTGCCGGCGCACACATATCCCACTCAACTGCCCGGACACGTACATCCGTGCACAGAAAATCAAACAACAAAAAAAAAAAAAAAAACACGGTGAAGATATTCACACAATACAGCTTCAGTGCACACACACACACACACAAAAACACACGTAATCCCAAGAATAATTTCAAAAAAAAAAAAAAAAAAGAGGAGAAAAAAAAAAAACGAAAAAAGCGTGTGTGTGATTGTGTGCGGTAAAGGTAGAATAAACAGAAGGAAAGAAAAAGAAAAAAACACATATACTTGGAAACCACACACAAACACACAAAAGCACACATGTCTTTTCCCCCGTCCCCCTCCTCCGCCCCGTCCATCAAGACCAATTAATTAATTTTTTTTTTTTTTTTTTTTCGTTTCTTTCCTTCCTTCCCTTTTCCCAGCCGTTTCTTCCCTTTACCGCATGTCAAGAACATCGCATTTCCGGCCACTCACCGCCGTTCGTCTCTTCCAAGCACGCAGACTGCACAACAGTTATTTATTCTTGATTTTTGTTGTTGTTTTTGTTCCTCCTCCTTCCCCCACTTCATTCCCTCCACAAGTAATCGTTCTTTCTTTGGTTACTTGTTAGTTTGTTGCCTTCCTTCATTCATTCATTATTAATTTTAATATTGTTGTTGTTGGTATTATAACGTCTCCACTGATCATTACTATTTTTTTTTTTTTCCTTCTGTTGACTTGTGCGTGCGCGGGTGGGTGGGTTTGGATTCCACTTGTTTTCTTTTTTTCCTCCCTTCCCTTTTCCTTTTCTTCCGCTGCCTGCTGGAAGTCTTGTCTCCACACGCCCACATATGCACCCACACCCACGCACGCACGCAGTCGCACCGGCTCACTGCCAACCACACCCGCAGCTGCGCGCAGCCCGTTTGATGCCCCTCCTCTCAGCGCACATCGTCACGCCACCCCTCCTTCCCCCCCTCCCCAACACACACACAAACAAAAAAAAAAAAAAGGAAAAAAAAAATCACATGTAAAACGACTTGTAGCCCATACAGACGCAGCAAAAAAAAAAAAAAAAAACAGAAAGAAAAAACGGCAAAATAAAAAGAAAACAAAAAAAAAAAAAAGCGAGATTACTTTTCATGGAAAAAAAAAGGCCATCGCGCCTAACACGCATAAAAAAAGGAAAACGGAAAAGGCCAGGTTCAAAACCCCCATCTGTATTGCCGCCTCCTTTGGAGAAAAAAAAGATTTCTTGACGCCGTTATTGCCGTCATTTTTGCGTTTCTTCAGCGGCGTATTAACCACTGGTGCCGGCACCCGCAAACCCGTCAATTGTGGGCGCGGGTTAGGATTCGATGTGGCACCGTTTTTGCGTCTTTTCTTTGTTGTTGCCGCTATCGCTACGGACGGGTCAGCAAAGCTGGCGGGACGTGCTGCGTCCGTCGCCGATGTCCGTTTCAACCCATCCGTGCATTCATTCCGTCCCGTTTTCACCTCCTCATCCTGTTTTTCAAACCCAGCAGTTACCACCCCGGGAGTATCCTCATTACATGTCCTAGTCGCACCGTTTAAAGCTCGCACCCCAGCTGCATCCGCGAGCGTCTTTTTCTTTTCTTCCCCCTCTTCCGTTTTTTCCTCTCCCACTATCACCACCTTTTCCTCCTCCCTGCCGGTCGCATTGTGTACTGCGCTAATTGCCTCCCGGGCGATCGCCAAGCACAGCAGGTAATCCGTCTGCAACTGTGCGCGCTCCTTCTGCTCCGCCTTCGCGAGGGCTGTGTGGGCCTCCACACAGGGGGCAATGACCTCTTGACATAGTTGGCAGATGAAGTTTATGTCCATCACCCGTTGACGCCCCCATGCGACCGCCATCCGCAACTTCTCTAGCGTGTCCCCTATGGCCTGACGTGCCCCTACAATGGCTGACGAGGAAAATCGCAAGACAGTGACGGCGTCACCGCTTTCCCCGTTGCTCTTACCAAATGATTTTTTACACGCCGCTCCGGAGGGCCTGTTATTTTCCATAGCCAGGCATTTCGCTGCGGCTGCGAAGAGGGAGACGCCGTCCTTTCGTTTCCGCCCATTTTTTGCGGCTACACCTCCATTTATACTGTTCTTGCTATGATGCTGACGCACGCTCACAACCACGAATGGCTCGGCACGCAAGCGGCCTTCCAGTTCTTGGATCATCTCTGCCGCGTCCTTGACGCACTCGTCAAACGTGGTGTAGGTGTTATTGGGGCCATGGCAACGATTTGACAATGTTGTTATGGCTTGCTGCAGTATTTCATCCTCGTTCTCGGCATCCGCAATTGTTCCAAAAAATAAACAGAGAAAATTCAAAGCTCCTGTTTCCTTCTCATTCCCGTATTTGGCTCCCCGATTTTTCCTGCGACATGATGTTATCTGCTTCTCGGAGGCAAGCGGAGCCAAAAGAGAAAATAACTGGCACTGAACTGCCCGCAGCGTCTCTGTGCCCCGTCGTCTACATTCTGAAAGATCTTGCGCAAGCGACAAAATAGCGTGCTTTGTCTCATCCATGACTAATTCTTCTTCTCCCTCCTCCTCCTCCCCTACCACTGACGTCCCTGCCACCTCCATACCAGTCGTTTCTGGCGAGTCCGTCAAGGGGTCAAGAACTCTGTCCATTTTATGCAGAAAAAGATTGCTGCCATTGCATTCAAGATCCCCACTCACGCTACGATTTTCTTCCCCCTCCTCCATGCTCTCAGGGTTCCGAC